AATTAATTATTTTGAATTTTCAAAAAACTTTAATCTCATATAAAATTCTGATAAAACTCTAAACAATTATAATTAACTGTTTGCATCTTAATGAATACTCTCTTAAATTTGATTTTAGGTGAAAATTGCTTCTAAAGTTTGCTCGTATCATTTAGTAATTTCAAAAAATATTTGAATTCAATGGTGTGAAATCGATCGTACTGCAACGCAGATAATGATAAATGTTGCAATAGCCAGGATGGAATTATCAGTACATTTCGATTATCATCCATCATAACTATTCTTTTAAAGAACCAAATTCATCTTAAGCTATTAGTAATAGCTGTAAATTACAAGAAGTGAACTTTGATCTATTTAACTGAATCATTCTTTTTTTTTTAGTTAAAAGGAAAAATTTAATATCAACTGATTGCATGAGGACCAACAATATCTACTGCATAACTGTATACATTAAGTGGATGACAACGTTGTCTGCAAAGATATTTGATAGCATCAAAATTATGCAAATACTGCTCCCGGAAATGACTAAGCTTTGCGTGTCGATCGGCAAAGCATCGAGCATCAGTCCAGTTGAATTTTTTCATTGGAACGGTTTGATGAAGAATAAATCCAGTCCTTAGAAAAAATGAACGGAATCGTTCCGCTTCTTCCATCTCAGAAAGCTGAAATTAAAAGATTTTAACATTTTTTTTTTTCAAATTAACAAATTTAATGATTAAAGCAATCGGAAAAAAAAAGAAATGCGGAAATTACTTTTTTATTTGTTGCATTTTTCTCGTGAATTTTCCAAAGTTGCCATAACATTTCCATAATATCAGGTTGATCAGCGATAACCGGAAATGTAGCAAGAAATGGTTCAGCTTTAAGTGCTAAAAAGAGCAAATTAAATGCTTTGTTAAAAATTATAAAAAAGAACTTTCAAAATTAAAATAAAGACCTTCAAGAAGTAATAGTTTAAATTACCTGCATTGCTACAGTTATCGGAATCTTTCGTCAGAAATTGGCCTAATAAACGTCGATAGTAGAAAAACATTGGTAGAAACAATGCATGACATAAAAAAATATCTGGTAGAGAACTGAAATAAATATCACGAAGAAATAATTATTTAATTGATATTTTTGAAAATTTTTGTTTTTAATTAAATAGAAAATTCTATTTTAGAAAATTCAAAGTATCCATCTAAAGTTTTGCATTTTATTATTTTTAAAATAAATAAATAAATAAATAATCGAGTGAGAATATACTTACTCAACTTGATGAACGATATTGTTAGGCACATTTGATACACGAAAAGTTATTTGAATTTGAGTATTTACAGGGATCACATCTGTAATTTAAATTGTTAGCTTCAATAGTGTATTTAAATCTGAAATTCACTTTCTAAATTCGACGTTGCAGAATTAAATTCCGAAAAGTCATCATCTTTAAGTTTTAAATCTCATTTCCCAACTAATTTATCACGTCTAAATAAACTAATAATGTGAACTATTAATTAATTTATCATATCTTTATTTTTTATCAAAGACCTTTAACTATTGCTTTTTCATATTGAAAATTTTCTTCGTAGCATTACTGTCATGCTTAGCGTTATTTCAAAAAAATTTGATACCTTCTCTGTTAAACGAATTTCGCATAAACAAGCTTGCGGTATAATTTCTGAAAATTTTTTAAAAATTAAATAAGATGGACTTTACAGTCTGAAAGTAATTAAACTTCCATTTATTTTTAGAAAGCAATTTTAATTCGCTTATTTGCAGAACTTTAATTTTGCCATCGAATTTGTTAATTATTCATGGTGATGAAGTAAAAAACAAATCTAAGTTTTTTGAAAAAAAATTCAAACATACTACCTGAAAATGATTGAATCTAATTAAATTAATCTAAAATAAAAATTACTTGTTTTGCATGCAACAATGTCCATTTTCATCGATGATTGGTAACATAACACAACCGAGTGATTGTTCAGACATTTCACCTTCCTGTAATTAATCTCATTTGTTTGAGTTTATTCTTTAATAACAAATTACCAAACAGCTCTTTTGTTTTTCTGTTTTTCATTTATCAGCTAATGGTAATTAAACATGAATACATGAATGAATTTAGTTCTAAAAGTAAAATCAAAGAGGAGA